AACACCATCACCATGAACACCATCACCATGAACACCATCACCATGAACACCATCACCATCGCCATCGCCATTGTACACATGTCGATTCTCACATACATATCTTCTCTGAACCAGGTATTTGAACGACAACAAAATCAAAACATTTACTTCAAAGATGTTTAGCAAATTAACCTCTATTGAAAAACTGTAAGTAGTTCGTGTGAAATGTTTGAGTATGGCTAAGCTCTAACAGCGGAAGTGAATCAAAGTTTTTTTCATAACCACAGTTATTTACAACACAACTATCCTCTACATCTTTCACCGGAGATATTTTCGAGACTGCAAAACCTGAAGGAACTGTAAGTATATTATAAATAGAGCAGTTTTCGTATATGACTATGAAAAGCTCACTGCTTTGACCGCGTCGTTTTTTTTTTAAAGAAATTTGATGAGCTGATTTTTTTGTGTGAGATTAGTCTGTAGTGCCGTGACCTTGGCGTCACCGTGTCCTCGCCGTATTTGTGCAGTTTTTTATTGCATTTGATTGTAGGGATTATTGCGCAATGAGATTTATATGATTTGGCGTAATTTGGCATGGCGAACGCGTTCGTGTCCCAAGCTTTTCACAGTCATACGAAAACTGCTTTAACTTGACATCATATTTAGTATCTCTCAGTACTTTTACTTGACAGGGTGGACTCAAAAACTGGGACCACTTTTACAAAGTTAACAAATCATAGAGTAGGTTGAAAACAATGCAATCGAACTTAAACCAACTAAGAAGGAGAAAGCAAAGTAGCTAAGGGCTGATTATAGTCTAAATCTGACACAACTCAGATGTCACCTAACAATATGAGTGTGGCTGCAATGAATGTGTTACTTATCCTGCTCTTATCTGATTGGCTACAGTTTTCACTCAACATTGTGATTGGTTAACTTTGCAAACTTGTTCCCATTTAGTGGTCCACCAAATAAAATATTGCAAAAGATTAGAGAGTATTCTTTGATTCACGTGCAACCTATTGCAGGCACGTGGATGGGTTCTTCCTCTGTTGCTATGCCAAGAAAGCTATCCCGAATGTAAAATGCATATCACCAAAAGATTTCTTCTCAAGCTGCTCAGATCTGATGAAAAATAAAACATTACAAATCTTCATCTGGATTCTCGGTCTGTCGGCCTTACTTGGCAACGTCTTTGTTGTGATACTGCGAAGCATTATCAAGGAAGACAACAAGGTCCAYTCCTTTCTGCTCACCAATCTTGCAATTGCAGACTTCCTAATGGGAGTATACTTGCTCATCATTGCAATAAAAGATGTTGAATTCCAAGGAGAGTACTTCAGACATGACTCTACGTGGAGAACTGGAAATATCTGCAAGTTTGCTGGTGGATTATCTTTACTGTCCAGTGAAGTGTCTGTTCTCTTTCTAACATTTATAACTGCAGATCGACTTAAAAATATCGTCTTTCCTTTCCGCTCTAGAAAACTTAACCTAAAAAGCGCTCGCCTTATCGCGGCTGCCATTTGGATTGTAGGCATTGTCCTGTCCGTAATACCAATGGCAAACTTGAGCTACTTCTACGACGAGAAGCGTCGAGTGGGTTACTATGGAAGATCGGCTTTGTGTCTGCCTCTTCAACTGTCAAGAGACAAACTTGCCGGCTGGGAATACTCCGTGGCTATTTTCATCGTTTTAAATTTGATTTCATTTGTTTTCATTGCCGTGGCATATATCATCATATTCATAACAGTTCAAAAGTCATCTCGATCTATCCGTTCAACTTCAATCAAACGAGAATCTCAGATGGCGAAGCGGATGGCGTTCATCATCGCCACAGATTTCTTTTGCTGGATGCCTGTTATTATCATCGGGATTCTTTCCTTGCTGGACCTGTTTCATGATCCAGAACAACAGGTTTATGCCTGGTTGGCTGTGTTTGTGCTTCCTGTTAACTCGTCCATCAACCCAATCCTTTACACATTCTCTACGCCAATCTACAAAGAAATTATTAAGAAGAACAGTGCATTTTTTGGTTCAAGCAAAACGCCCAGCACTAAATCTGGTGAAGGAACCTCTTCCAGTAAGTAATTAAAGCTTTAAATGATCAAAATCTGTTACATTGATGGGCCGTTTACCGATGGAGAAAGCTTTTATAAATACTTGAAAATCATCAATGCGATCTATGTGACGAACAATGCATTGAGCTCCTACATTTAAAATCCCTTGTATTTTTATACCATTTGTGACATAAAGTGAATGAAAATAATGACTAGTGAAGATCTTTTTGAAATCTTGCTCCAAATCCTCAGTGCCTACTAGCAGGGACGTCGGAGACGGGGGGGGGCTAGGGGGGTTATAGCATACCACCTTTTCTATACAAAACTTGCACACCTCCTTGTACGTTTTATGTCACTTATATATAATCTAAATTGTAGCCCTCCGTTAAAAATAACGCTCCGACGTCCCTGGTTATAGTTGATCGTAAAGTTCTTTTGAAATCTTTCACCAAATCATCAGTGTAGTTGGTGCATGTTGATCCATTAGCTGTGCTGTAGTTGTAGTTGTCGTTGTTCTTCTGAATGTTGTTGGAGTTTGCTATGCATTTAATGTTGTAGATGTATTTCTAGTTAAAGTTGCTGTCGCTTTATTCTGATTGCTGCAAAGAGCCTTGCTCGAACAAATAATTTTAGAGTGCAAATTTTGTTCCTGATTTTTCAGCTCAAATGAAGGTAAAAACTTCATTACAAGGCCCAACAAGCAGCAACAAAACTGGCTTCAAAAAGCGATCAAACACAGAATCCAGAAAGAAAAAACAGGAACCAAATACGTCCGAATATGCAACTGAACGAAACTTCAAGACGCACAGTTCTCGGAAGAAGAAGGATAAAACAGAATTATTAACGTTTAGTAATGTGACGATAGATGACGCTGAACCGGACAAGATTAAAGAGGTAGTATTTCAAATTTCAAATGTTTGTGAAACAATTTGTTGGAATGCAGAGCCAAATAACAGTGTTCTGGATAGTCACAAACAAGGGGCCCAGAAAGAGATTGGGATGAGGAGAAAGAACTGCATGGGTACGATTGAAAAGCTGCTCTCCTGTACCCAATCCACTTCCCTACTCTTCCTTTACAAAATCTTCTCTAATCTGAAAAATTGCTTTATTTAATGAAAAATGTTTTCCGTAATTTCTACAAGCATTTTAAAAAGCATCTATTAAAAAAACATGTGTATTTACTGTACTTTTAACTTTATCTGCAGGGGATGCCCTTTGGCAGTTCATGCGATCCTGAAGCAATATTCAAAGTTGTCGAAGTTCCAAAGATCCTCCTCGAAGAAACAAATGAAACAACGGTTCGTTCAATTTATGAATTAAGCATTGCTTGGTATTTACACTATAATCTTCGTTTTTACGCTTTTTTGAAAAGAGGGGCTTTACTAGTTTCTCTTGGCAATCGTTGGTAAAGGGACCCTAAGCCTTAGTAAAGTCTCTAAAAAATAGAATACTAGTACTACAGTGCCTTTTGGATTCTTAAACATTTCATTCTATTGAACCCATTAGCAGCCTCTGAATTGATAAAATTCTTCTAACTGAAATTGAATAGGAATTTTTTATAATAAAATCCATGATTATTTATTCATTTATTTATTTATTTATTTATTTGTTTGTTTGTTTGTTTGTTTATTTATTTACTTCTGTTGAAGGGATTTCTCGTTGTGTGTACGAAAGAACAACACTGCTTACAACTCATGAAGTATATGCATGCTGATGAGTATAGTAACTGGATGAAGGAGGCCAGAATTGCTTCTTTATTTGCAAAAACAAATTCAAAAAACGTCATTAAATACTGCTGGCATGCCAAAGGTAATAGCATTAGACTAGTAAACTATGTTACTGCGCATCCTCTTCGCGCATTGCATTTACAGCTTGCTAAATCTCGCTCCAAGTGCCCGTGTTACTCATGATCAGCACCTCATTTTTGGGTGCTGCACATCACATCAAATGCATGACATCATTAGAACGTTAGCTTTCAAGTTTAAAATATTCTCTTTCAGGCGAACAAGTGAAGCTTGTAATTGAAGAAAATACAGAACACGTGGAAGCTGCCTCACTGTACGTGAACGCTTTAAAAATAGACATGATTCGATACAGACATTATTTAGAATAATTGTTTGGGCTGAAATAAAAGATAACTTACCCTCAAGGCACCTTTTTTCCTGCTCTTGTTATTTCTGTTGTTGCTGCTCTTCAATTTTCTTGCTTGCTTTCGTCTTTTCCTTGTCCTTTTAGATCCTTCTCATTCTCGTCTTCTTCTTCTTCTTCTATAAATAGCATACACCTGCAATAAAAATTAAATCAGATTTTTTACTTCGGTGCATCCTTAGGTTCATCAGTTATGAATATATATCTAGTGTGACACTCGAAGACCTGCTCAAAGACAACACAAGATCCATGTCTTTTTATTCATTGTGTGCTATTATCAACGATCTCCTTAATGCGCTGAAGGAATTACACCAACACTCGATTGTACATGGCAGCATCTTCCCTGGAAATATTCTCATTAAGGAATACGAAAACGTGAGTTATAGAGACTTTATGCTCTTCAATGGGGACTTGCCGCTAAGAACTCAGTTGGACGTTAGCCATTAAATCAATGAGTTTTATCAAAATGAACCCCTGGGCCCAGTTGTTCAAAGCCCGATTAGTGCTAATCCTGGGTTAACTCTCAATAAGACTTATAGAGTTAATCCTGGATTAGCGCTAATCCAGCTTTGAACAACCCGGCCCTGAGAAATGGCAAGAGCATCCCAACATTTTTTCCTTACCTTTATTTGAATAAACAAATACATTTTCAACTAAAAAACTTCTTTAACTTAGATTCTATTTTAAAGCCATTCTAATTCTTTCTAACTTCGCCAAGTGGATATGCTCTCTCTCACTTTTTCGTGCTATGTACAATCCAGCACCTCAACATTAATGAATAGGTGAAGTTTCAGCTCATAACATGTGACTGCACACCAGAAATGACAATAAATACGAAATCGAAAACTTTACAATGATTTATAAGATTTATTTTAAAACAACTTATGGGTTTATGGGGTAAAGTCACGAGACCTTTTAGTGTACTGAAGTTCCCTATATTTATGTAGAATACCAAGTTAGAGCGGATTTAATGACCATGCTACCCATAAATCCCAAAACGACGCAGATTTTCTCGTGCTTTAGCTTAAACTTACCGCGACAAGAGGTGCTCTAATTAGGATCAGCGTTTGTCTTTCCAGGATCCTCCTTTGCAAGCATTTCTTTGTGGATTCTCCAAGGCCAGAATCGCTGATCAAAACAACAAGAATATTCATCTGGGAGAAAATATACAACAGTTTGGAGCCATTTTTGAGACGCTAATGAAACAATACTGGATTGTAAATGACGAGGTAAACATGTCTTTCACTATCGTACAATTTGCCGTCGCGACTAAATTGGGTTTTGGAGGACGTCAATCAAAGTAATCAGCACGCATGCCCATTGTCGTCACGCGAAACCAAGCAATTGCTAGTACATAATTTCAAAACAATTTTCAAAAGATTGAAGAAATGATAAAATAGAGTTATAAAGTATAATATAAGCGGGGATTAATCGAACACAAGAGAAGTGTTAGGAGAAGCACGACGCGTAGTGTTCTGCCAATCCCCAAGCAGAGAGAGCAGTTAGCAAGCTTTTTATTTCATTAATAAAATACAAATTCGAATACTTGTTACGTTTGATACGAATGACGAAAAAAAGTGCGCATACGTGCTGTGTCTCATACAGCACGCGTCTCGACCAATCAGTAGGCGCAAATGATATCAAAACTATTTATTGAAATATATTAATATCTTATCTCTTTTAGATCAACCGAATCATCGAAATGTGTAGTGAGCATGGCGTTATCACACGTCCAACAGAAATCAAAGATATTATAATGGACACCTTAAACTATCAGGAACATCACATTACATCACTATGAATACTTTTGTTATCACTCACGTCCAACATACAGAAATCAAGGATAAAGTCATATCATATATCCGTGAAACATGTTGCAAGAAATCGCACAAATGAGTAAATTCAGTAAGCCTCAGTAAACCATAGACCTATAAAACTTTGCCGTAATTTGGACAATTACAGGGTTGTTTCAGGGTTCGATCTGTAAGTTAGCTAGAAGATTAGAAATGCAATATAACGAACCATTTTAACTGCACCCGTTGATGACGATGGTGATGACAATGTACGATTTTGATGGTGATGGCGATGGCGATGGTGATGATAATACAATGATTGGGTTTTACGGTGGGACAAAAAACCCGGGAGAAAAACCTTTTAATCAAAGGGAGACCTAACAAACTCTATTCATCATGTGATGCTGATTCCAGAATTCGGACCCAAGTCCCCAGAAAGGAAGGGCAAATTAACTGTCTAGATAAATTGGTGAATTAAGAATCAAGATGGCAAAAAAACATTAAAAAAAGGGAAGAAAAACGTTCAATATTATTGAAAGTAAACGCTTTCAAAAAGTAGCTATCAAACGGTAACAAGTTTATTTTAAACTATATTTATAGCAGTCAGTACGAATTCATCCAGTAAGAAAACATACGTTCACAACGATGGATGATACTCGGCTTCCTATCTACAGTTGCTTAGCAACCAGAATCTTTTGTTCATCAAGATAAACGACACTTGAAAAGATTGACAGATTATGTTATTGTTATTGCGAGAAAAGTTTTTTTAAGCAGCTGTTGCACATACTCGGTTACACCAGCAATCTACTTGTTAAGAACTGCAGACTTCATCGATATTTTTGCTTCCATAAATTTACGAAAGATAACCTAAATTTAAAAACGTGCATTTTGATTTTGGTACTTAATCCCTGTGTTCCAGGAATTATTATAATTCACGCCGTAAGGATTCTAAAATTTACGGTAAGTGAGAACTAGCTTTTCTATTAAATGCTATCGTTAAGTTACATCAAACTTTCAGGCTTATTCACAACTTAAATCTAAATTTTCCGTTTACGAATTCAATGAGACTTAAACAGTATTTTGCCAGGTCAACGAACGGTTTCTGTTGAATAGCGCATGGCTTTTCACCTAATACACAAAACAAACAATACACTTTATCTCGAGCATGGAATCAATTGAAGTGTGATAAATTTAATTTATTATATAATTACCAATGAAATACCTATTTTTCTCTATTTCGAAAAATTGATATCTTCACACGTGAAAATAACACCATTGCGATGGCTATTCAAAAATACACGGAAAGAATTGCCTGAAAAAGCTGCGCTCACTCGTGAGAGATTTTTTCAACACTCGAAGATAAATTTCGTATCTCCGCGCGCCCATGTAATATCCTCTATCTCTCTACTTTAGTGGAAGTTTGCCATTTCTGTTCTAGCAAATAGTAACGTTGTTGACTTAAAGAAATCGACGTGAGCTAGTCAAACAGAGAAGGTGAAAAAGATCAAACTTTTGCTAATCTTGGTTACATAATCTTTAATTAATAACTTTGTTCGCTTGATGCAATTCAAAGTTATTATGAAAAACACACTCTACACTTTGAATCCTTAAAACTCATGTAATTCTTAACTTTTCTACAGTTTTGGATAATAACTATATGATGTTTTATATAGAAATTTATATTCCAGAAATGTCAAATAATCAGGAGTTTATCCTATATCTTCTCCATGATAATTCGAGCCTCATAAAAAACAAGACGAATTCCCATCTTAATAGTGAAGTACTATTTCTTTAGTTAAATCAAACAAGTGCAAGTTTTACCAGGCAAAAACCTAGATTAATTATATCTATAGACTTGATGATTTCTTCGCGATAAAGCTTAATTACCACAAAATTTCTAGTGTTTTAGCTTGATTAATTTTATATTGTTTCGCGGTTACTTCTTGGTCTTTCAGATTAATGATGTAAGGTAGGACCAATTCCTATCGCAAATACCTAATTATACAAAAACTAAAGATCTCGCGAAAACGACCGACAATTTAAGCTTTATCAATTAGTTTATTCAAAATTAATTTGCGACTCATTATTTGCTTTTCTACGTGAAAAGACTCTTTATTCTTCCGTTTTACGAAGCGGTGTTACTTCTTTGAGCCCTTACACTTTTGTCCATAACCTATTTTTCTTAGTTCCAGGTTTTTGGCTCAATAAACAACAGCTTTTACCCAAAAATAAAGAAAATAAAACTCATGAGTTGTAAGATTCACTCCATGTCTTTTAGAAATAACATGTTTTGTTGTTGGTGAAAAGATATTTCGTCTTGATGACTAATAGCTAGATTGCGCATCTAGATTCGAAATCACCTGGAACCGTATTTTAACATTAATACTAGAACAATATTCAATTTAGATCAAAATTATATTTTTGGATATCAGCATATGTGCCCCCTTTGATCTCATGTTCCATTCATTCAGTATCTGAACCCCCTTTGACCTGATGTCCCATTCATTCAGTATCTGGACCCCCTTTGACCTCATGTTCCATTCATTCAGTATCTGGACCCCCTTTGACCTCATGTTCCATTCATTCAGTATCTGGACCCCCTTTGACTTCATGTTCCATTCATTCAGTATCTGGACCCCCTTTGACCTCATGTTCCATTCATTCAGTGTCTGGACCCCCTTTGACCTCATGTTCCATTCATTCAGTGTCTGGAGCCCCTTTGACCTCATGTTCCATTCATTCAGTGTCTGGAGCCCCTCCGACCTCATGTTCCATTCATTCGGCATTTCCAATGATTCTTCAAAACAATTGTCAAAAAATTAATACGTTTTTCAGTAACGTTTCCCTCTGGCTATCCCCAAAGCCGCAAAGTATCATGGGGAAATGTAAAAATAGCGAATAATCGGTTTTGTAACATTTCAAAGACAGCCAATCACAAACCAGGAATCCTTAAGTGAGCTGCTAGAAAATTGAATATTATATAAACATAGCTGAAAAAAATAAGGCTATAATATTTATTTATTGTTCTTACGACATCATTCGTTAAATCAAGGTAGGAGACATAAGATAAATGACCCAGACACCGTGAACCACGTACAAAAAGTAGTTTACAATATCAGATGACTTTTATAAGTCTATAAGTCGAGTATAACGCCTCATAACAGCAGTTGATTACATATTTAGACTAATCATTTGTTTTCATATCTGTAAACGACAGCTGGTCAATTCTCCTACACAGGTAGACCTGATCTTGATAACTACCTTAAAACAGAGTTTTAATCTTGACTTTATGATTTATTTTTGGTCTGGAAACATAACAAGTGGCCTAGCTTATATCATATTATATCGTTAATTATCTGAAGCGGTAATAGAACGTTTGAAGCAAGCGATGTAAGACATTCCATCCTTAAAGTCTATAAAGTAACAGTCAAGTTTTAATTGGTTGAGCGTGAGAGTCCACGTGACATCCGGGAGTTTTGATTCTAGCAAGGTCAAAGTTTCAATGTATCAATGACAATCAATTTATTTTCGACATTTCTAAAATTTTTAATGTAATTTAACATTTCTAAGTAAAATTTGTGATATATATATATACACTGCGGTTTGCATAAACTTTGACCCTTTTGTGCATATATACAAGTATATCAAAAATTATGGGATATGATCCCTGATATTTTTTTCAGAAAGCCCTAGTGATGGACAACTCGAAAAAAGGGATCTTATCCCATAGTTTTTGATGTACTTTTGATATACTTGTATATATGCACAAGAGGGTCAAAGTTTATGCGAACAGCAGTATACATATACATAATTTATGACAAAATTGTACGAGTGTGTACAAATATTTACTACCAATTGTAAAATTTTCCCTTTGTACTCTATATTTCTTCCTTTCTTCTGTTTTTGCTTCCTTTTAATATATATTTTTTTCTTTGCCTTCTTATAAACAATAAATATCTAATACAAATTGAACTGCTAAAAAAAATAAAGCGATTTTTTTTTTTTTTTTTTTTCTATTAACTTCGAATTTTCCTTCGTTGATAAAATGTAAATTAAACCAGTTTTTTTATGTGTTAAAAATCTTCGTAAAATTACTGGTAACACGAATTTAGATAAACAAAACTAGGTTGGGAATAACTGATTGTCGACTTAATTACAGGATTCTCTTCAGAGGAATTATTTTATTGGTCAATTTTCGTAAAATCGTAGGTCTTTGGAACCCATATAACTACTCAACTCGGTAACTTATAATGTTCATAACAAATCTGACTCAAATCAGTGCAAATATATTATATTGCATGCGTTATTTTAGGTCTCTAGATTCAAATTAATTTTCGGTTATTTTCCGAAAAAATAATCGGCTTTCCGAATTCAGATCAACGGAACTCACATCTTAGCAGGTATGACAGCTGTAATAGCGAAAGAAAATGAAGCACGTAAATGGAAAGCGTAACAATACCTCGTTAGTTTTTATAAGATGGTAGAAATTTTTTGATATAATTGCCAACAAAAAGAACTTTAATTAGAAAACCCGCTGAAATAAATTTCCTTTTTTTTTACTGTTTTCTTTCGAGAGCAAACTTATAAATTTAATGAATGAGGGAAAGATCCCCAAAAGAACGTCATTTACGTTGCGTTAATGAATAAGGTCGTTCATTACAGTAATGATACGATATTGAAATATTAACATTTCTAATAGTAATCTATCAAAATAACAGAGCCAAGCTTGACGGCAAGATAAGGTCAAAAGTTTTCCATTAAATTCTAAACGTACGCGAGTATTCTCCGTGGTTTGATTCAACTCTCGGCATTTTTTTATCTCATTGAAAGACAACGAATTCGTAAAACTACTTTTCAAAGGTAAACTATATTTCTAGAGCACCATATTTTGATATCTAGCCTTGCAGCTTAACACTCGTTTTCTAGCTTAGATTTAATTCAAGATTTAGTTGGCCTCAGAATTTAGTTTAAGTCAAACGAGCCAAAAATTTCAACTATAATGTTTTTTTGCTCAAGAATGTTTTCGAAAACACTTGACTTACAAGAAAATTACAATATTTTTTCGTAAAAACAAGGTATCAGATTACGATTACATAAACATTTATGAAGGATTTAAAACAACGTATAGTTTCTTTTACGTTGGATTAAAGTAACTAACAGATACATGAATTTAGAATTTATATTTCTGGGGTTTTTTTTGAGGATCGCTAAAACACTAGAAAATATTTCATCTTTCACTTTAGTGAGTCTACTAGAATTTATTGATCTTCTCTGATTCTTATCTTATAACTTTCAAGGTTTTTGTTCACATTTTTATTTAATTTATCGTTGTAGCTATGGTGGAAAAGTAATTTTAACTTAAGAATTATGTAAAAAAAATATTTGTAATTTAGATTAGAAAAGTAATTTTCATAAAGGACATAAATGATTCTATAATACTGGGTTGAGATGTTTAAGTAACCTTCATAATTGAAACGTTTCAAGTGGTACTATATTTTACTGGGCATCTAGCTGGGGACCTAATTTAACTTATAACACTAAAGATCCTCGTAGTTTAAAAGAAGAATTCTTCTAGGTGCAACTTCGAATTCTGTCGCAGCTTTAAGGCGCGACTACACGGAGCAATTTTTGCTACAGCTTGTCTCGCAATGGCGTTATGACATAGGTTGCATGAAGTATTGCAGCTTGTAACCTACAGTGCGATTTTTAAAAAATCCGTTTAGACAATTGGCAGCATCGTTGAGAAAAGTAGAACTTGCTTTTACTTTGGGCAAATATTGCGTCTCCTTTCGCACCGCGCACACACTTTTCCAACTTGTGTCGCAACGCTGTTGCGAGACAAAATGCAGAGAAAATTGCTCCGTGTAATCGTGCCTTTTAGTCGTCCTCCTACTTGCTCTTACTAGTTATCTACTTTCAATTAATTATTTTCATGTATGTGGGTGTATTCCTGTGTTGGTTTTTTATTCATTTGTGCTCGCAATATTTGGCTATGCTGTTGAGATAATCTTGAAATTTGTCTTTCGTTTAAATGCATCTTATTTTATGCCACTTTTATTCTATTATACTCATAAATTGTGTTAGCACTAAAATAGCGAGTCTACTTAAGAAAAGAAAAAGGAAATAATATTGAGGCTGTACGAGGTAGCTTTTTTAATAGGCTTGTTAAGTCTTTTGTGGGGCCCTTTTTATTCAAGATTTCCTTTTTACTTTTTTATCGAGTGTCTTTTTTATTCATTAGGATAGTTAAAGGGGCACGACGTTTTCAAAATGCAAAAAAATTCACAACTCGAGCCCCAATTAGAACAAATAAGTATTCTCACTTACAGAGAGTGAATTTTTTCGATGCATAGAAAAATTATTGGGGTAAAAAAAAGAATTTTCTTATCTTTTATTGGCAAAATACGATGTTTCTAGCACGGGGGCAAAATAAATGTTTTTCTAGAAAAGTTCTAGAAACGTTTTTAATTAAAACGATTTGTCAATCGCGAAAGATCATAGATTATAGAGCCTGGATTTAGCTCGAACTAGTGAATTCGAGATCTAGAATTTCAATATTATAAATAAACCTCAATCCTTTTTCTGTGTATTTGTTTTCAAAGTTAACACATTTCAAAAATTACACATTAGACGTTGAAATTTCTATCTATTCTTGTAGTTCATGTTACGTCACAACAGCCATGTTGGTTGACGAAAACCAAAGCATTTCTAATTACATTCTCTGTAAGATCAACCAACATGGCGGCTGTCTCACTATTGTTTATATCTCGAGGGATTTCGATTCATGTGGTTGCGACCCAAGAACTTCAAAAGTTACTAAAACTTTGATGACAAACGGACACCCTCCAGTTCCAGTTCCTGTGGATCGTGAGGCCGTAGATACCAAGATCTCAAACAAAAAAACACTAGAGCGAAAGAGCATCTGAAACCAAGGGTATAGAATTGGATTGGTAAACTGACGAAATTCCGTGAGCCGAAAAGCGTTGGAAAATGAAGGGAAAAAACTTTACTATCATTTTACTTAGTTTAGGTCGTTAAAACGTTTAACGGTAATTAAACTTTACCTGGGTCGTATTTGTAATAATATTACTAAATCATTGTGTCATTTTAATCGATCATTAGTATCACTTATTTTCGATTCTGACGTCCAAAACGTCATTTCCACTTCGCGTGAGCAGAATTCTTCATTTTCTTGCAGAATAACAATTACTTACAAAAACGAACACTTTGAAAAAAACTAGGAATCTGATCTATCGTTCATACTTTCTTAAGAGAACATAAAAAAAAGTGAATCCAATAACGTGCCAAGTATCCTATATAGTATAAACAAATAAATAACCACCGAGTTGTCAATTTTTTACCATGGGTATCTAGGACTACCGACCTAATGTCGAGAAGACAGTTAGAAGTTGACATAACACCAGTTGCTGCAGGATTTTTGGCACTCGTATTATCTCGTGGTAGGCTTAGTTTCCGACTTTGATTTTTCCAAGCCATGGATAAGGGATTGAAAACACCACGAAATTTCTCTAAATTTTAAAATTTCAGACTATGCAGAGGGGAAAAAACAAATAAATCAAAAATAGACAACCCATAAATTAGGAGTCAAGATAGGCAATGAGAAAAATTTGGTTAGTTAGTTTTCGACTGATAATTTTTTTTAAATTTACATAAGTTTAAAAATTTCTATGACAGTAAAGATTTAAATAACGACAATAAAAATTATAACTCCAAAAGTTGACGATCATTGCATAGTTTGTTGGTACAGTTTTTTTAGGTGTTATTAAGATATTCCCGGCTCTCATATTTTCTCAGGGTCGATGCCTTTCTAAGGAGTACTAAATATTGTCCTAGCCTCAACTCAGTGAACTTAACGTCACTCGTTTGTTTATGATTTTTTTTAAACTTAACAGACTCCATGGGATGAAATTTGGATTATACTGAAATAGAATGGTTAGGATTCTATGATGGCTTCCTTTTGGACTGCATGGGCTAACATTCTTACCTTCAGTGCCTGCCTCTGCACCAATGTCCATGCCACAACTATTCTTCAGTTAGGACTTTTAGTTCCAATCGATGTCGTAGGACCTGGACAACTAGGTGAAGGATTGATCGTCGCCACTAAACTTGCAATCAAGAAAGTCTACGACGACGGTTTCCTAAACCGGAGCTTTTCTCTCAACTTTACCACCGCGGACACTGCTTGCAATAAGTTAAACGCTGTCAAAAAGGTCTACGAACTAAGTAATGTTGACGCCTTCATCGGCCCTGCTTGCTCAAGTGAGTGTATATCGTCAGGCCTACTTGCAACGGCTTTGAACAAGCCTATGATATCGTACTCATGTTCGTCTCTTGAACTGAGTAATAACTTGTATTATCCAACGTTCGCACGAACACAACCATATACACGGACGTATGCATCTCTTACTCCTAATATGATACATAGAGTATTGAGCCATTACAAATGGAAGAGGATATGTATAATATCAACTGAAGACCAAATATGGGCTCCGCTTGCACTAAGCGTGAAGACATATATCAATGCAAGGAATGTTTCGACTCCTTACATAGGCGTTTTTGCCCCGAGTTCCAAGCTTGATTACAAAACTGTTCTTTTTCCACCAAAAAGGATTTGTCGAGGTAAGGTGTTTCTTTTTCTGGATTAGAATAATAATTTTAAAATCAATAATATTTATGGACACGGCGTCAGTCACGGTGTCCATCGATTGTATTGTATTTTCTCTGTATTCTGTAAGTTTTTGTCCCTCCACAAAGCCAACAGTTAAAATTTCGATTCAATCCGTGAGCTAGCCCATGGCCTTACTTAGATCAGCCACATACGGTGTTGTTTCAGTGTTCAATGAACGTGGCGTTCAATGATGTCGTTTGTGTTTTGCAACTCATAAACCATGTAACAGTTCTTGGTTTGTTAATGTTTTGTTTCTTTTAGTCATCGCTTTCTTAGCATACAGCGAAGAAGTAGCAAAGCTCCTCTGGACGGCAAACCTTCTAGGAATGAGAAATGGTGAATATGCCTTCCTGACTCTTGATTTTGACATCGAGGTTCGGTACCTCAACGGGTCTTGGCCGTACGTGCCCAAGGAAGAACTGTTTGCTACATTCGATGGTATTGTAGACATGGCGGTGGGACCACCAAGGGGTAGAGAGTTTGACCAAACTATGGTGGAAATGGAGCAGGCGCTGAGGAATAATAGCCTTCCGGTTATAAACCAGGTACTATGAAAAAATGGATAGGTGGATGAGAATACATAGATATTTTAACAGGATTTTTAACAGGATATGGGCAGGGATGACAAACCTATTAATGGGATATGGATGCATGCATGCATGCATGCATGGATGAATAGATCTATAAATAGAATAAAGGATGGAATGGGAGGATAGATATATTAATGGGAGATGGATGGCTGAATGGATGGATGGGATATGGATAGTTAAATAATTCAATATCAATTGAATATCCCAGAACCTACTATTCGGTGCGTTTCTCATCGATGCCGTCAAGCTGTATGCATACGCAGTCAACAAGTCTATCACACTTGGAAGTAACTATAAGGACGGACGAGGCATCATTGCTAATGTTTCACTGTCCAAGACACTATTTGAAGGTAAATACTAATCGACGTATCAATACAGGTGATTTACAGTCATTCTCAATACCAATGTGAATGTGAAAGTTGACCATACTATGTTGGGTTTTTGGTAATAATAAAATAGGAAGCTAATGACGAATATTTTGTTTAAAAATACGTATACCACCAAAATAGACCTATTTACCTTGGGCGTAATGTTTTCCCATTTCAGACCACGTGTCATTCTCTTGATAATCAAATTTTTTGTTTGAGTTGTATCCATATTTATGTGTCTTCTTGTGACCAACCGTCATAAAAAGAAATGATACTCAAGGAAATGAGATGTGGTCCGTAATGGGAAAACATTACGCCTATGGTAAAGAGGTCTATATTGCCACGATATTATCTAAACATAGATCTTTTGTTTTTCTTCTCCTCCCCTCTCCTCTCTCTCTTTCACTCTCTCTCTCTCTATCTCTTTCTCTATCGTTGTCTCTCTGTCTTACTATTTAAAACGCATCTAAATAACAAAACCGGTTTTTCAGGTTCTTCGGGGCCGTTTGGCATCAACAAAAATGGTGACAGAACACCGTACTTCGTGTTCACAAACAGACAGAACGGCAGCGTGGTACCAATAGCTGAATTCAATCTCCTCAAGGACCCAAATGAACCCGGTTACTTTACTCTTTTTAACTCAACGATCATTTGGCCAGGGGGGAGCACGGCTATTCCACGTGATGAACCCGTTTGTGGATTCCGGGGGGAGAATTGTGTTGAAGAACCAAAAGGTAGGGGGAAAATACTATCATTTAAAGAATTGCTAATCATATTCATATTTTTCAAAGGATAAATTTCCCATTCCTATCATTTTTCTTTCATTTCCTTTTAACCATTTTTATTTTTATAGTCCTATTCTCATTACTTTTCCTTTTCTCATCCTAGCTTTACTCCTGTTCCTTTGACTTTTCGAACAATCTCTATTCGTAATAATTCCGATTCCTATCCAGTGTACTTTTCCCATTCCTATCCCTCTTCTCATATAAATACCTTTTCCTATATTTCTTCATGTTTTCTGAAGACAATAGCATACAAAAAGAGTCTATGTTCAATATGGATCAGATATATATATCTATGCGTATCTAACATAAGTTGGTTATATATTATCTTTTCTACTGAATACACAGACAACACGTTCTGGTTTTATATGCTGATTCTTCCAATAGTCCTGGTCATAGCAGGGATTGCGGGCTTTTTCTACTACAGGTACACGATACATGTATAGTTTTTCAATAAGTCTAGTGTTCTACCATTTCATTACTACGTGTCATTCTTTTGAGAATGAGATTCTTTGTTTGAGTTGTATCCATACTCATGTGTCTAGACCTAATCCTTACATGGGCAACCCTTAAACAAAGAAATAAAATTGTAACTGTAATGACATGTGGTTTGAAATGACGAGAAAATATTTCACCGAAGACGAATAGGGGCTTTGCACCATCACGTGATGGCAGCTATGACAGGAGACAGGAACAATTGAATCTGGCCTAATCTGATTTACATGAGAATAAATTCAGTTTCACTGGGACAAGAGACTCTATTGTTAATTGTGCCTCCTGTCGTGGCTGCCATTACGTGATGGTGCAAAGCCTCTATAAGGTCTATTCCTCAAATATGGCTGTGATTTTATTTAATGTTAGTTTCTAGCTTCATTTCTTAGATCAAAAAAAATGTATATAAGGGGGCCGAGTACCATAGCAGAGAGAGATTCAATTTAAAACCTTCTAAGAAAGATATATATACATAATTTAACGCTAGTTTCAAAAAAAGGTAAGAACCTGACCAAAAAAAAAAGATTTTCAATATAATGATTGAATTTTTTATATGAACGGGCTGAATACTTTAGCAGATAGTTATTACAAAACCTTCTAAGAAAGATTCTGCATACAGAATTAAACACTGATTTAAAAAAAAAAAAAAACAAAGAAAAAGTTTTTCGATATAATGGCTGAAATTTAAATAGATACCATCAAGAGAACTGGAAATATAACGTCCTATAGGATTGTAAGTCAATTAATCTTCAATCATCATTGTTTCCATTTCAGGAAAAAGCTTTTCGAAAAAGATCTGATAAGCAGCTCCTGGCTGATTAGTTACAACGACATCTCATTCATGCTGGCGGCAACTAGTCGATATTCAAGCAGGGTGAGTTAGAATCGAACATCAGCCGAAATTTGTTTCGAGCAACTTTGCAGAACACACCTTGTTATCTCTTGTTATCCTGAGCGTAATATGTTCCCACTTCAGACCAGTTGTCATTTACTTGAAAATAATTTAATTAGTTTGAGTCATATCCATATTCATTTACATAATCATAAACAAAGAAACGATAAATGGCACGTAGTCTGAAATTGGACAACATTGTGCCCAAGGGAAAGAGTTTAAATAGCCAAACAAAAATCTCACAACAGTGAGGTGCATGGGACATAAGATTTAAACTTAAACTGAATTCATTATAAACTTTATCGTTTTGATCACTAAAAACGAAACGGAAAGAGCGCTTTCGCGCGCAAGTTGATGACACACGGGAATAGGGTAAGGCGAAATTTAAACTGCATCTGGTTACTAAAAACAGCCGAACCGGGAATTTACATGCCGCGCGTTATTAAGAGGTTTCTCTCACTTACTTATGCTCTCTTGTTGATACCTCACACACAGATACGAAGTCGAGCTTCAGTAGCTAGCTCCATGGGTATGGCCGCTGGACACTCATCCAACGTTGGTCGCTTCAAGGTAAATGAAGATAATTTTAAAATCTACCAATAGTGAAATAAGGCTAAATAGATTCTATAACAAATAAGTCTGTAATCAAGGAACACAGTGTTATACAATGTATTCTAAATCAAACAAAATGGCAAACTGATGGATTCCCAAGACAGTCAAGAGACAAAAACATGGCGGCCATTGTGGTGCCGTTAACAATGAATGCTAATGAGAAATCATTTATTAAACGGCACCAACATGGCCGCGATGACGTAACGTGCAATCGAAGAGTAGTCTTTTTTTTTCTATAGGGTGAGCTCATATACGTAAAAAGACTTAGAAAGGAAAGCATTAATTTGACAAGAGATGTTTTGATTGACATGAAAAAGGTAAGTTATTTTTAGCAATCATGAAAAAAAATGTGTAAAAATCGCTAAAAACAGTTTGAGTCTAAATTCCAATGGAACTCAGTGGATAAAGCGCCACACTGTGGAAATGCCACTGTTAAATTCCATGTATTTTTTATTTTATTTTATTTATGTACATATATTCATTTTATTATATAATTACCAATGAAATATCTATCCGAAAATTCAACAAATGAGTTCCGAATTCCACAACGTTCCAGATTCCTATTATTATCTAATTCTATTAAATCCTGACCAGGTCCGCGATATACGTCATGCAAATCTTAACCAATACACTGGTGTTTGTGTCCAGTCCCCTAACATCTGCATTACGTCATTATTTTGTAACCGAGGCAGTCTACAGGTATCTAATTAACATTATCAAATACATTAATTTTATTCGCACACTAAATTTAGTTGTCTGAGTTAATGAAATCTATGGTTTCGACTCCTCTTAGTAACTGTTGCTATGTCCCATCCCACAAGCTCAACAAATTAGCTAGAATATATCAGAATTAATCGTAGTACTCTTTAAAGGAGATACCGTGTAGTTATTTGTGGGACATGGTTTTAATGCCACTGGGAAAGCTGCTGCAACGTCTGAGTCATTTCTGCTACGGATTTAGAAACCTTAATACGCATTTCTTTTCAATATCTTATTTTCTAAAAAGTATATATATTGCATATTTATACTAATCTAACACGAAACACCTATATATTTCTGAAGGATATTCTTGCTAATGACGACATCAACTTGGACTGGATGTTTCGACAGTCATTTGCCAATGACATTGTCGCTGTAAGTTATGTCATCATGACACATTATAAGCTATATGATATACACTGCAATTATTTTAGAAAAAACCAGTTAAATTCTCGTAATACTCGGTCGAGTACATATACTTAGCACAAGACTTAGATGATGACGACGATGGTGATGATGATGATGTTGATAATGATGATGACGATGAAGCTGATGATGATAATGATGATGATGATGGTGGTGGTGGTGATGATGATGGCGATGCTGATAATAATAATAATGATTATGATTATGATGTATCATACCAATGATACAGTCGATCCCAAAACGTTGTCCAAGTGAAAAGAGGTTTATAGGACAATAAATGTCACGTGTTCATTAAATATTCAGTTTTACGCGCGTGCATTTTTTTAATTAGCATACTGATGCAAAAGTAAATTACAGTATTGAAAACTGAATCTGAAAGATGCCGCGTGCTTTCTCGGATGATTTAAGGTGGAGAATGGTATACCAACATTTGTTTTATGCAAAAACATACCAGGAGATAGCCGCTAATCTGTTTGTAAGTCCTAAAACGGTCAAACGGACATCTACACTAGTGGAGACATTAATCCTTGGCCCGTCGGTCGACCTCTTCAAACAGGAAMACTTTTTCCGCATGAAGAGTATATCGTCATGGAGTGTCTTCTAGAACATCCTGAAATGCAATTGAATGAAATAGCGTCGAAAATATTCAATACAACTGGCCCTGCTTTTAGTGCCCAAACATTATGCAGAACGGTCCACAGGCTTGGATTCACGCGCAAGAAGGTATGGTACGTGCAGATTGGTTTGCTCATTACTCATTACTCAGTCTTGAAGAACGTTCTCTAAGTCTGGTAAGGCTTTCACTAGCTCAGAACATAGCTCTGAAACGGTCTCTAACACTGGAAAATTGGGTAAACTTCTTACAACGTAGCTAGACTTCTTCTTGGAGTCCAAAACCCGAACTTCTAAAGTCGAAAGAACTTGTTTTGAATTACCCGCCGTCGACATTTTCTGCCACGCATGTGATGCAGCACGTTCAGATTCCTAGTTCCACACGCGCGTAAAACTGAATATTTAATGAACACGTGACATTTATTGTCCTATAAACCTCTTTTCACTTGGACAACGTTTTTGGGATCGACTGTATATCAATATAGAGATTTGTGTTCAACGGAAACTGTAAAGGACCAAGAATAGATCTTTGTGGCACTACCTAACTAAGAACTATACAGAAATGAATAAAATGCTTGTGATTTCATTTCCCTTAGGGTATGGAGGCTCTTCACAGCAGTGCTGTGTACGCTCATGGAAATCTTAAATCCTCAAACTGTTTGATTGACAGCCGGTGGGTGTGTCGTATTGCCGATTATGGACTGGATCTAATTCGTGTGAACCAGAAGGATAAGGATACTGGTGACTACGCTAGATATCGAGGTACGGTCTTGTGAATTTCGTATATGGTGAAACCTGCACGCGGCACTTTCGCGGTACCGCACTGGCAAAATGCTTCCAACCAATTACAGCGCGCGACATCACTGTTCATCCAATCAAATGATTTGATAAGAACCTGTCACGGTAACGGTACCGGACTGGCAAAATGCTTTGAACCTGTCACAGTCACGGTACAAGAGTGACGACATGCGTTGAACCAATCACAGCTCATGAAATCATTGCTTATTCAATCAAATGCTCGGATTCGACACTATTGCGTTCACGGTATAATACTGACGACATGCTTTGAACCAATCACATCGCATAAGAACATTGCTCATCCAATCATATGCTCGGACACGTTACGATCACGGTACACTACTGACGACCTGCCTTAAACCAATGACATTGCATGAAATCATTGCTCATCCAATCAAATGCTCGGACACCTCAGCGTCATGGCACACCACGTCCTTACCAAAAACTTATCAACACAATCTACCTCTAACTTTTTGGGTAAAACCCGAAAGCTTTGAACACGTGCAACTTCACCCTTTTTGTGGGCTGCAATGAATTAACTGAATTTATGAAACTTAACTTCGTTATTCATTAACTTCGTTTATCAGATATGCTTTGGACCGCACCAGAACTCCTTGAATACGCCAAGAAGAACCAATTGTCTAAACACAAGACACAAAGCGGAGATGTTTATAGTTTCGGAATTATTTTATATGAGATCTTAACAAGAGATGAACCGTTTATAAACAACACTAGCACCATAACACCACAAGGTAGGTGCACTTGCGCAAAGCGGGAACTTCTACACTTTAAATGGCTTTAAAGAGGGAACCAGAAAACAAACAAAAAAATGGAGAAATAAAAAATAGAAATAAGTTGGTGATTCTGTATGTAATGTTACATTATATATTGTGTTTTGTGATGGTGTTGTGTCATGTCATGTCGAGTTGTACTGTGTTGCGTTGTGGTGTGGTGTGGTGTGGTGTGGTGTGGT